GAGCCTAATTTAACAAAGGCCTTGCGCATGATTATTGCTGATGTAATGGTCTCGAACTAAACAAAGGAAATTTACCTTCTGTTGGTCAGCGAAGACGACATCATCAGCACCATGCAAGAGCCACATGACAAAGTCACATGATGCCACGGACATGAATGGTTGAAAGGATAACATAGAAGAAGAAAAAGAGGGAAAGTGTGGGGGTAGCAGGGACAGGTGGGGAGCATATGGGAAACATACAAAACATTTTGAAATGATGAAAACATGTCAAAATAATAATAAAAAAACAAAAACAAGAATGTTAAAGACATAATGACAAAACAGAACAACAAAAACAAATCGTAAATTGATAAACAGAAGTTTTTGAACATATAAAAAATATGTTATTGAATATATGAGGTACTGGATATTTAGTTATGGCTGTTAACAACACTGAGAATATCAGTAAATAACCAAACAAATAAACTAATAAAGATATTGAAGACTCAGCCAAAACTATACACCCAGAATTGCCTCATGCATCCAGTTGACAGCTTTTCCTCTGGCATTTTTTTTGGTAACAATTTGGCCAGATCTGAATTTTAACTCGTACCCATTCTAGTAGGGCTGATTGTCTTTGAAGATAAATGACATGTCGAACAGAAAATCAATTTTAAAATCAATTCAAATCAATTTTAGTTGTTGTGTTTTTCCGGTAACAATAGAGCTTAAATGAAAACAGAGGAAACTCTGCAGCTTTGGGAATAAAACCATGCCAACTAAGTATGATACACAACACAGCAGACAACAATAGGAACACATGAAAAATCTGAAGAAATAAGTTCTACGACAATCTAAAAAAGCACATGTGGCATTTGTTCTGAGGAATGCATTTGTAAAAGCACTGCATCCTATTTCAAGCTAATGAATAGTCACAACTGCATTAGACAAATGTTATTAAAATGGTGTGTCAAAAAGGAAAGACTTGTTAAGAACAATATTGAGACATACAGATCTCACACAGCAGACACATCATACATCAGGAACTTAAAAGGAGCAACTACACTTACAGCAATTACTCCAGTGACCAAACACACATGTTATGCTTCTTTACACACTGCACTCTGTTAACCAAAATGACGTTTTAAGGTCTGTGAAAACCACAAATGACAGCAATAAGCAGTCAGACAGGTTAGTCACTTAGCAGTGCTACTGGTTAAAATTTTACTGCACACAATGACGTTAAAAACCTCAACCCGGGTCTGCTTGGGCTTTGTTGATCAGTGTCAGCGATCTCTCTTTTTCTTGTTTTTCAGAAAACGGGCTAAGTATTCACAAAAAGTATTTGTGGAAGAGCAAGTTATTTTTGGTCCATTCCCTTAAAACATTCATTAGAAAATCCTGGTCTCTGCTTCCTACTTAGTCACAGCTTTCAGTCCCAGTCAGATAAAGAACAATTGGCAGTGGCTATCCATGCTCTGGCGTAGCCAGTCAATACATGAAGGATGATTTTGAGATGCTGTTAACATGCTGCTGTCTGGCTTTTCAGACAGAAATGGAGTGAATGCACACTAAGGGGAGGATTCAACTCATGAGCGATCTGGGAGAAAACAAGTTGTGATTAAATTGAGTGGATGAAACAACTGAAACATTCACCGAAAAGACAGATATCCTTCTGTCATTTTAAAGAATGGCTCCTCATGGTTCGTTCAGCTGTGAATGTAACAACACTGCGGGACCAACCAAACTGTACTTTAACAACTGTCAGATCAGCTTAACTATATGCTGTGTCTCACCTAAACAGATAACAGGGTAAGAACCAGAAATAGCTTTCAATACTTTAATAGCTCCTCAGTATGTGAGATCTTAATAGTAAATTGTTTGATCATTTTTTGGGCGGTTGCCTTCCCTTTTTTTGCACGCTTTTTTTTTTTTTTTTTTTTTTACAAATAAACAGATACATCTGAAAATTTGCTTTCATTTGTCATTAGCAGCCATGCCCGTTAGCGTGAACAAATGGCACATTGAACATACGCTGATTTGATGTTTAGCTTTGTTTTTAGGAGAA